GTTGTGTGTAAGCTGATGTCTCTATCTATGAATGTCACGGACTGGGGACAGCCCTGCCTGCCACCTCATCTCTCATCCCCTCTGGCTCCCACTAACCCTCGTGGCTCTGAACCCGGCCCCCACGCTGTCACCTGGGTGGTGGCATGTCCCAGGGCTGTTCCTGAGTCCCCATGTCCCCTCTCACCTTGCAGGTCGAGGCATCGCTGGAGGAGCAAAACTTCACAGAGCTGTGGGGGAAGAAAGCCAAGGAACTGTACGGCAGCATCTGGAATAACTTCAGTGACCCGCAGCTGAGGAAAATTATCGGCTCCATCCAGACTCTGGGACCCTCCAACCTGCCCCTGGAGAAGAGGGAACAGGTAGGCGAGGTGCCCGCAAAGCCCTGGGCATCGCTCGGGGGCTGCAAAACCCCTGAAAGGGATTTTTCCCAAGTGTCCAGACTCTGTTGCTGGCCCGTTGCCCCCTCCATTGCGTTTTGGAGGGTCTGCCTGGCCTCTGCGCAGCGAAGACAAGGAGGAGGGGGAGACGAGATGCTATCGCTGGGGGACGTGGGGTGCCTGCTGGCCCCGTTATACAGCCCTAATCTCATCTCGGAGCTATCCCGGTGGGAACCGGAGATTTCCTGCTTACACAGAGCAGCCTTGGGCGTCTCCTGGAGACCAGCCAGGCTCTGCCCATGGCAGGGGGCCAGCTGGCTCGACCCCCCCCCGTCCCGGTGCTCCGCAAGGATGCAGGTCTCTGGAAAGGAGAGCTTCTCCAGCCGCCCGGCTCCTGAGCCCTCCCCGCAAGCCCAGAAACACTCTGCCTCGGTGACACAGTTCCACTCTAGGGACATCAGGACATCCTGAGCCTTTCCCATCACGGACCTCAGCTTTCAGGGTTATTTACCTAAATGTGATGTGACCTCGATTCCCGTGCATGAAAATATTGTCCAGGCTGAGGCTGGCAGCCTCTTGCCTCTGCACGAGCACAGGGACACTGGCACTGCTGTCCCCTCCAGCCTGGCCCACGGCTCCCTGGCAGCCCTCCCCACCGAAACCCTGGCAAAGCCCGGTGATACAATCCTTTCCGGAGAAGCGTCAGCCCCGATTCCTTCCAGGAAACCCATCCCTACCACCTCCTGGATAACAGACAGCATCACGTCTCCTCCCCGCTCATCAGCCACATCTCCCCCATCCCCAGGCAGCTCCATCCCCCGGCCACCACCGTCCCCTCTCTCCATCCCTTCTGCCCGGCCGGAGCAGAGGGATGAGAGCAGAGAGAGGGACGGAGCGGAGGAATTTCCTTCCCTGGGACTGGGCTCCCCAGGCAGGTTCCAGGAAACCTCCTGTTGTTATTGTTTGCTGTTGTTCAAGTTCACAGAAATAAATCCCCCTCCTCCTCCTGCTTTTCTTCTTTTTTTTTTTTCCCCTGCTTAAATAAACAGGCCGTGCCGCAGCCCCGCTGAAAAAGAGTTTTATAAATAGCCCCGCTCCGGGACATCACGAGCGCTCGCGCCGTGTTTGAGGGGGATCGGCGAGTGGCTCTGCATGGGCTGGCTGTCCCAAAGAGCCTCCCTGCTCCCACCATGCGACGGGTGCAACAGCTCCGGGTGATAACCTGCTTATCACACCAAAAAGCGCTATGCAAACACACCAGTCCTCCTCCACATCCCTCCGGACACACACACTCCGGACTTGGGAAGTCTGTAAATCCCTCCTGATCAGCCATTCCCGTCCCCTTCCAGCCCCAACGTCTTTTCCTTCCCTGCAGTACAACACCATCCTGAGCAACATGGACAAAATCTACTCCACGGCCAAGGTGTGCCCGGCCAACGATACCTGCTGGGAGCTGGAGCCAGGTATGGTCCCTGTCCTCCTGCTCCTGCGGGGTGCTGAGCACCCCATGGCCAAGAGTTTGTCCTGGTCCCCACAGGGACCCATCCCCAACTGGATTGGGCTGGCAGGTCCCACCCATGTTCATGGAGAACATCCTGGGGCAAGGATGAGTATTTGGTTCTGGTGCGATGGTGGTGGCACCTCTGCAGAGCTGCTGTGGGATGCGACACCCCCGCCAAGTACGAGGAGTTCGTGAAGCTGAGCAACGAGGCCTATCAGATGGATGGTACGAGTCAGGTGGAGGGATGCAGGGGGTGGTCAGGGATCAGGGGTGGGAATTGGGAATGGCATAATCGGACGCTCTGCTGCTCACCCCATCCCAAAGGCAGGCAGGCATCCGACTTCCATTTGCACTTTGGGGAAGGGGCAAAAATCCTCCTGCTGTCCCCTAGTCCCAGCTCTTGGGGGTTGCTGGGGTGGTCAGCCCCCAGGGGCCGGTGCCGGTGGTCATCACTGCCTGTCTGCAGGATATGAGGACACAGGCAGCTACTGGCGCTCCTGGTACGCCTCCGCCCCCTTCG